AATTTACGAATCATAGCTCCAATATTAATAGATGTATAAAAGAAAAGCACTGGCATTGATTTACCAAAATGAATTAGTACTTTTACTATATCTNNNTGAATCTTAACGTCTAATGTTACAAAAGTTTTTTCTGCAATATATGTAAATAATTGTATAGAATAAATATTTGTCAAAATAAAAATAACATTATTTTATATTATTATAAATATTATAATTAGTAAAATAATTAGTAAAATAAATACCATCTTCCAATAAAGGTACACCAAATCTTACTCCATTTTGCGAGATTAAGACTCTATCCCGAGGAATATATTTGTAAGAACCTATTCTTACCATTTTACATAATAAAGAAGTATATGGAGATTGCATAATGTCATCTAAAAGATATTTATTTTTATTTTTTTTCTTTCAATATATAATTAACTAATATTTATTATTCAAAATTTAATAAATAGAATGTATATATTATGAAATAATCATATATGAAATATATTTAAAAATTACCTGAAATATTTTCTATTTTTTTGCATCCTGCATAATCGAAAATTGTATCGGAAATAGAATTATTCGTAATTATTGGTTTCTTCTCAAGAATGATATCCATTTCATTACTATAATCATTATTCGTGTCGTTTGAAAATGTATTGTTATTAGAATTTGATCTTTCTTTACTTTTTTCTTCTTCATCAGATGATATTGTTAAACATTCTGAATAAAAAATGTTAATCTAAAGTATTTCTATATTCTATAAGACAATTTGGCATACAAACTCTTAAATCATGAAAATTATTTGGTTGTAAAGAAAAAAATAGGATAATAGAAATATTATTTTTTCTCTAAGATCATTGATTCATGTTTTTTAATATCTTGAATCAAAAGAAAAGAATACAAAACCAATTTTATTTTTATTATTACATATTTTTATAATGCAATATATAATGCAAAATATAAAATCAATTTATATAATAAATTTTTATATATATAATAATAATAAATTTTTTATAAATATGTGATATATTAATATATTTATAAATTAAAATAATGTATCAAGTAGTAAAATATCAAATCAAAAGTAAAGTTAGAATATAAATCCAAATTAGTATTGGTTAAACATTTATTTTTTTATAATTTTATTTTTTTGTTAATTTTGTAATCTTGTATTGTTTTTTTTATTTTTTTTTTGTATTCAAATGCAAAGATATATGATTTTTAATTTTATATTTATTTTATCTTTTTTATTAAATAATTTTAATTTTGTTATATTTTTATTTTATTAAATAAAGATAATTAGATTTATTCTTTTATATTTGTTCTATCTTATATATTTAGTATTTAAATTGAAGATTAAAATGTATTTTTTAAAATAAAATTATAAAATTTTTTTTTTACCTGGTTTTTTATGACTAGGCCTTGATTTTGAAATAATTCTTTTTTTTCTTTTATGTTTATGCATAGACGCATCTTGTTCCAATTTTTCTGATTTTGTTGATGAATTATGTTCATTGTTTATCTTGTAAAATAATATGGAGAATTAACATGATAATTCAAATTTAAAAATATATTTAATGAATATATTTTAACAAAATGTATTAACATTTTTTTAAAATGATAATATATTAAAATGATGCAATTCCACAAAAATTTTTAAATACTAATATAAATATTTGATATATATGATTGTATAATTTAATTGTATTATTTCATTTTTAAAAGAAATTAAAATTTACCTTATTTTGTTGTACAGAATCAATATTTTTATCTAGTGATCTGAAGTGATTAATATTATATTTGAGATACTTTATATATGAATTTTATATAAAAAAAATATATTGAAAAGCTTACCTACTAGAATTATTTGAATTATTATTTATGTTATTTTGAGAATTATCATCATTTTTATTCATATCAAGTGATGTAATTGTATCAGATTCAATTTTTACTAAATAATTTATATCCAAAGTAGGATTAGAAATTAATGAAACACTTAATTTCTCAGAAAGAACAATATTTGCCTAAAAACACAAATAATTTTTAATCAACATATCAATCTTTGATTATGCATTTTTATAACTATTATGACAACTATTTTAATAATTATTAAAATACCTGTTTTAATAAATCTTGAACTGTACAATCTTCGTGAGGTATCTCAAATGTAATTAATCTCTGTTCACCATTAATAAACACAACTAACATTTTTGCAATATTTCCTTTTATTTGATGTTGAACTTTATTATTTATCAGATTATGAATATTTTTTTTAATAAAAGCATCATTTTCAGAAAACTTACATTCTGAATCACTTTGTGAAGAAGAACATTGTTGATTTATTGAAATTTTTTCACAAATCGATGAAGATTTCAAAGATTTAACATTCATTATATTATGTTTATTTTTAGATAGAGATTTTTCTTTCGAAATTTCCTTTTGAAATTGTAACTGTGACAAAGGTAATATTTGCTTTTGGTGTACTGGATTTGTAATTGTTTTCTGTCTTTCTTTCAAAGATTCGATATTTACTTTATTATGTACATTTTTATATGAAGATTTTTGTTTTATAATCTTTTTTTGAAATTGTGACGAAGGTGACAATTGTTGCACAGGATTTGTAATTATTTTTCGTTGTGATTTCAAAGATTCAACACTATGCACATTTTTAGATGAAAATTTTTGTTTCGTAACTTTTTTTTGAAATTGTGATAAAGACAAATATTTCAATTTTTGTTGTACCGAATTTGTAATTGTTTTTCGTCGCTTTTTCAAAGATTCAACATTTATAACATTATGTACATTTTTAGACAAAGATTTTTGTTTTGTAGCTTGTTTTTGAACTTGTAACTGCGGCGAGGATATCAATTGTTTTTGCTGTACTGAATTTGCAATTGTTTTTCGTCGCTTTTTCAAAGATTCAACATTCATAACACTATACATATTTTTAGATAAAGATTTTTGTTTTGTAGCTTGTTTTTGAACTTGTAACTGTGGCGAGAGTAACAATTGTTTTTGTTGTGAATTTGCACTTGTTTTCCTTCGTATTTTCAAAGATTCGATATTCATAGCATTATACACATTTTTAGATGAAAATTTTTGTTTTATAATTTCTTTTTGAAATTGTGATAATGGTTTCTGTTGTATTGAATTTGTAAATGTTTGCCTTTGTGTATAACTATATAACGAACTTCGTATTTGTTGTAAAGCAATATTTGATAATCGTTGCAATTTATTTCCTTGCAATATTTTATCATTTTGTATTTCTATTTTTGTTCGTAGCATTGTGAGTTATTCAAGAATTTGTTGATGAAATAAAAGCTTGAGATATAGTGTGAGTAAAATAAATAGAAGAATATTTGCCTAGCAATTTATATCACATTCTATTCAATAAGATTAATTGTTTTAATTTATATAATTTTCAAAATGAATACGCGCCTGATTACTAGATGCATTAGCGTTTTATTGATTCATCATTTGAATTCCAATATTATTTTTTACGTTTATTCTATTAATTGTATATTTCTGTTTTTACACTATTTTTTTTATTGATAGTTAATTTTTGTTTTAACAATCTTTTATTTTTATAAATTTAAATTTAGGAAATAATTTAATTACTATAAGCCACAATTATCAAGACTATACAAGTTAATATAAATATAAATATATAAATATATAAATCAAATTTGAAATGAAAATCGAATAATATTGATTTACTTAAAGGTGAAAGATGTTTGTACAGAGTTTTTATAACAAATGTTATGATTGACAAGCTCATTCCATGATAAGACATCGTTTAGTGAATTTCAAATTATAATCATGTAGAAATTATCGAAGTATCTAAATTAGAGAGGAGAGAATTGATATGAAAATTTTACAAACAAGTTTTATAAAGAAATTATTTGATCTTGCATTGTTGATAGAAGCAAATTAATATTTATTTAAATTATTAAATTGAAATGTGTGAATGTGTAAAAGTTATTCAAAAAAAAAAAAAAAAAAATTAAATTTCTGAGATGTAAATAGAATTGTTGAAGAAATAAAAAAGATACAAGGTATGTTAATTTTGAAATTTTTAAACGATTTTAAAATACATTTATATAATATAATGATAATTTCCATGATGGAAAAAAATAAAACGTATATTAATAAGATTAATTTGAAAAATAGATGAAATTTCTAATGAACATAACTATTTATATGGAAATCATTTTGATGCAAAAATCAAAGGATTTCGAAAATTGCATTACTGATTTGTAAGTAAATGATAAATTATCTATAAAATATAAATTAAAAAATATTTTCAATAAGCTAATTCTCTTCATTGAAATCAATTCTTTTTGAATCGAACATATTCCTTTGTTCAGGTATAATAAGAAATTCAAATTTGAATTCTAAGAAACAATGAAAGTCTTGAATAAATGTTTTAATGTTACAAAAAAAGGAAAAGAAATAAAAATTATATTTAATTGAAAAATTCGTAAATTATAAATAAATTATAAAGCATTCTTTTATCAAAAAAATATAAATATAAATACATTAATATTTTAAAATTTTGATTATTAAATTCATATTTTTATTATCATTAAAGAAACGAATAATAAAAAAACGTAAATTTATAGTCTTCTTCTCATAATATATTAAAAATTCGCATAAAATGTTTAAGTATACCCAATTGTTTTCACCTTTCGTTGTATTCTCTCAACCATGAATTCCTTTGTTATTTCACTTTTTCTTTCTCTTATTCCATTGAAAAATTTCTTTACGATCTTACATCTTTTATCTTAATAAATCTCGTGCCTTAAATAAAAAGATAACAAATTTTTCGCGATTCAAGAAAATTTCTACGAATAAACGTTCAAATATTTAATCTATGTTGTAAGTATTCGATATTCTACATTGTATTGTAACTATCATATAATACATCGAACCATAGAAATCTTTATTCTTCGAATATTCATCGATACTTGTTCTATTTTCATGCTGATTTCAGCTTTCGATTATTCGGATAACTACTTCAATCATACCTCCTTCAAATATGGATGTTTGAGAACTTCCTTCATGGAGCACGTGATAGCCTATTGGATAAGTATGCCTGATTGACAACCTCTTTACGAGGTTACAAGCTATCGTTTATTCAATGCTATGTGAAACAGCACAAGGAGAGAACAGTTTAAATCACTGGCAAAGATACACCAGGTCGTTGCTCGAGTTTGTTAGTTTTGTGTTCGTTTATTTAACTTACTCCGTGTGTTCATGTTACCACTTTACAGAGTATATTTATAATGTTTCAGATTGCTTCGAAGGGCATAAAAAATGCACAAAAAAAATCTTTTATAGAGTGGTAATTTTGACACAATGGTTTGAATTGAAATTAACGGTATGTATATCGAAATTAAATGATACATAATAATTTTTTATAATTATATGGAAAAATAAGTTATTCTGGATTATTTGGTGCTCTGTAATTGTAATTAAATGTTTCAAGATTGTTATTTTTATATTCTTAGAAATTTATTGAAATGTGATTTCATAAAACTTTACAATTGTAGATAAAGTTTATTTGTAGTAACAAGGAATATTCTAAATTTTGATTAATTTTAAATTTTATTAAATGTTTGTATAAATCTTCTACACAATATACTTTTTTCGAAAATTTCAAATATGTAATTCGTATAAAGAAGTACCAAACGAATTATATATGTATATGTGTAAAGATTCATAAAAAATGATTAAAAGTATTATCGTATGAAGCATGTATATAAATAATACAGATAAAAAATAATCACATAAAATCTAAAAACAATAAGATAAAAACTAAAATCAAGTAAATATTTAATGAAAATATGTTTTTAAATTAACTTTCAAGTAAAAAGAAAAACTCAATTTCATAATTTAGACAAAAAATTCTGTCTTAGACGACAAGTCCAAGTGTATTACTTCGTTCTTGTACATTTCGATAGTCTGTAATAAAAATACATTCTTATATATACCATATTCAAGCTAAATAATTTGAAAATATTATTGAAAAAAAACAAATTTAATATATTTTATAATTAATGATATTTAAACGATTAATATAGTAATTGATTGCAAAATATATTTTGTTTATCATTCTTTTTTCATATTGATAAAAAATTAAGAAGAAATTATTTTTTGAAATAAAATTATGAAATTTTACCAAGTCAATATTGGTATCCAATTCTGCCACTTGTTTTTCGTGAATTTTTGTTAGTTTTTCCTTCTCACGTCCTTGTTTGATCTGTACAGTTTTTCTTTCTTGCATGAATTTTTTTGTATTTTGTTCCTTTTTCTCACGAAGTCGACGATCTTTGTCTCCTTTAGTCTTTAATGTTTTATCGTTCATTACTTCTTTGGCCGTTTCCACGGATATTTTTGCTTGATTCGCATTCATATCTTTCATATCTCTGAAATTAAGAAACAATATTATTAAGTTTTTATTACATATTAAATAATACAGATCAATATCATATAATAATAATTAATATATATTAAAAAATAAATAACGAATAATAAAATTACAAATTATAAATTATAAATAATTATATATTACTTATCAAAAAGAATTTATAAATTAATTAAGCAATACTTTTAATTTTATAAGTACTTAAGTATTTGAAATTTAAGAATTTCATATTCCTTAAATGTATTCCTAAAAAACTTAGAAAATTTATTTAAAATTAATTTAAATACGAACGAAAAAATATTTACAAAAATTATTAAAATTAAATAAAATTAAAGATAGTCTTGCATACTTGTCGTGTTTCGCTTGTAACTGTTTAACTTGATTAGCCTGTACAATGTCAATTAATCTTTTGAATTCGTCTCGACCAACTTCTGTATGACTCTTCAGCATTTCCCATTCTTCTTTCCGTTGTCGTTCCACCATGGCGGACCATTGCGTGGTTTGTTCACTTATAACTTTTTTCACGTTAGCGTCTTGGAGCAGCGCATTTTTGCTATAAATTCAAGATTCATCATTGTCAAATTAGATTAGATACCAATAATTAATAGTGGATATTAATCGTAATAATTTTTAGTTAAAGAAATCCAAAGTTTTCACTCGTTTACATACTCCTTTCCCTTCACCAATTTATCTATAGCACTGCAATGATTTTTCTGCATCGTCTGTCGTTCCTTCAAATGTTTTTTCCTCATTGTATCCAATTCTTTTTGTTGTTTCTTACCAAATTTATACGTTTTTTCTTTCTTCAACGTTTCTATCGTAATCGGTTCTGGCTTGAATTCCTCTGAAAAATTATATAAATGAAAAATTTTGTAGAAAGATACATATCTGATAAAAAAAATTATAACATATATTGCATAATATGTACATATTTAAAAAACGAATGAAAGAATAAACAATTCTTTAAAACTATTTTTAAATTGTTAATTAAACAAATGTTATTAATAAATAATGACAAATAATAGATTTTTAAATGTTGAACCTTGCAAGAATTATTTAAATAAGAATTAATTTTTTATATATATTTCATCATAAGTTTTTATATATTTTTTATATTTATATTTCACAATACTTGCTTCACACAATCATCGTATAAAAATATTCTACTTTCGTAATAAAAATATTTTTAATTTTCGATGAAATTTTCATAAATCGATAAGAACTTTGATAAATCTAAAACTATGAACGAATAATTTAATTAATAGTAACAATTATAAAAATTTATCTTGTAAAAGTTTTGAAACAATCATTTTTCGTTTTAATTTTTATAAATATAATTTATTAAAAAAAATATATATACCCCTTTTAGCCTTCTCCTCTTCCTTCTTCTTCGCCTCTGCCTTCGTATCGGTTTGCTCGATTCCTAATCCCTTCATAGTCTCTGCTTGTTTCTCTGCTCCCTTACTAAATGCACCCGGATCAGACAGAGCAGCCATGAAATCTGCAAGTCGAGAAAGCGTGCTCGAATCACAGTCATCGTGATATATTTCTATTTTTGTTCTTGCTCAAGGTATTACCTTCGAATCCATCGGGTACGTAAATCTTTAGCTCAATGTTGCAGAATAACATTGGCAGTGCCATGGGGAAATTCGCCTCAGTCTTCAACGAAATATGTCTATATCCGGCTTGAAGGCCGTCCAGTGGCAAAATACGTTGACCCAACAATTTCCCGCTCTCTTCGTATACACCTATCCGAACAATAAATGTCAAGTGAAGAAATCAAAATTATACGATTATTTTCTGATAGTGGAAGCAACTTGCTTCTTTAATCATTATTAAATTTAACGTTAAAAAATAGTATACAGTCTTTTGTTAGAAGAAAAGAATAAATGATATGAAATTTTTTTTATGTATTGCAAGATCATTATCTTATCTAGAATAATAAAATTCTGAAAAAAGATTCATTCAGAAGAAAAGTATTAGAGAGGTAATATTTAATGAATGTTAATATTAAGAAAGGATACGAATGTAAAGTTTCATATCAAAATTCTGAGAAAAGATTTATTCAATGGAAAAGTGTTCGGAATAAAAATTGTTGAATTTAAAATATAATTAAATTAAATTTATAAAATTAAATAATTTTTTGTAACAAATCGATTAAGTTTAAGAATAATCCCTTTTATACTGTGTGCTATATTTACTATATTTTAAAGAAAAATATCTAGATATTTTACTTTATATCTATTGCAACTTATTGGTTATAAATATTCCATAGCATAAATCTTGTTAAAATTGTTATGTATTGAATATTGAAATTACCAAATCTGAGTACAGCCAGATCAGGAAGTACAACTTTTCGGAATAGAAACGGTTCTTCGTTATAAACTGGATTCAAACCATTTCCAGGCACCATTCGAGTTCTAAATTCTTTCTTTATCGTGTCTGCTGGCAAACCATACATATCCACTTCAACATAAGTGCCGACTTTTTTGTCAGACAAGAATTGTCCTGCTATCACCTGATATATAAAATATACTGTATTAATAATAATAATAATAATAATTTATCATTTTTTTAATTATAAATTTTTCCTTATATTTGTATAATATTATAAAAATAGAATTTATATAACGAAATATAGAATTATAGAAATATAGAAAATATAGAATTTATATAATTTATATAACGATTTAAATTCTTTGAAAAAATAATTAAATTAATAAAAATTTATAAAAATTTAAAAGAAAATTCTACTATATCAATAATTTAGTTAAATTTGTATCAAAATAAAACAATAAATCATTATAAATGCTTATATTATAATATAAATAGAAATGTAATATTTTAAAGAAAATGAAAAATTAACTAGATTTTGTTCCATTTTAAATTATGTGGTTAATTATAAATAATAGAGCAAAAATAAAATTGATTGACATAATAATAAGAGGTTGATTATCTTCTTATTGTTGTTAATATGTAATTATTTATAATATTAATTTATAATAAAATTAAATTTTCATTTGAAATTACTTGAACAGAACATTGGGCTGTGATAACTCCGTCTACATCTTCTGAAAATGGATCGAAGCTTCTGTCCGGTCTCCTCATGAAATCAGGTTTCAATAAATATCCAGTTGTTGCATTATATTCGAATTTTCCTTGATTCAATTGCATAGGCAAATCGGGTGTTTGAAAATTTAAGGCTACCATTTGACAGCCTGCATTCCAGAATACCTAAGAAATATATAAATGTTAATGTAATCTTTAACTATTAGATTCTTTGAAAAGATTATATTCGATGAAAATTAAAAAAAGAAAAATAAAAAGAGATAGGAATTTTTAATATAATAATTATTTTTTTATATTTTCGACTTTTCTTTTATTTTATTTCTTTTAGATTTATTTCTTTTCGAGTTATAGTATGTATTTTATATTTTATTATATTTTGCATATATTTTATTTATTTATATTTATTGTGTATTTTAAAAGATTAGTTGTTTAACAATAACTTCTCTCAGTTGGATATTAAATATGTCAATTAAATAAAAAAAATATAGTGTTAACCAATAGAAAAGATATTTTTAATAGAAACATCAAATCTCATATTTTAAGTAGTAATATAAGATAATAATATATCGAACTGTTTACAATCTCCAATACTTGATAATTTTATTTTTTATTTTTTATATTAATTTAATTTTATTTTAATCTAATGCAAAATAATCTAAATATATTAAAATTATTTAAATAAAAAGGATATTAGATTTTAATTCAAATATAAATCATTTCTATTTATTTACTTAATTAAAAATTTAAACTATGTTGTTCGATTATCATTTATTTTAATTCTTACAAAATTATTTTTTTGTAAAAAAATATTTTGTAATAAAAATTTGCAAATATTTTAAACCATTTGTAGTTTGTAAATAATTTTTTCATAAAAAGCTATGAAATAAATGGCAACAATCGAACAAAATAAATAATCATATAAAATATATCATTTGATAAAATATTTATTAATATTTATAAAAATTTTGATTTAAATTTTTTCTAAATTTTACGATAAACATTTCAAATAACTATATAAATAATGACTCACTTGTGGCATATAATTTGACGAATCAGCTCTAGTACCTTTTGGATAGATTCGACTCATTTGACGTTTATTATAATTAACAAATTCTATTGCATTTGTTTTCAGGTAGTTGAGTGCTGCAGTCTCCGAAAACGAGGACATATTATGATAGATGTTCTTTTCTGCAACCATAATAATGTTTTTTTTCTTTATGATATGTTCAATTATTGAAATTGTTATTTTATATATTAAATATTAATTGAAATTATATTAAATTAATATATAAAGAAGAAAAATATTTTTCATTAATTCAAAAAATTTAATATTATTTTTTAGTTTTGTTAAATAATTTTTTATTTTTAGAACTTTATTTCACGTAAGTCATTCAATTCTATTATTAACTAAGTAAACATCAACGTTTGCCTTTAGAATATTTTCAAGAAATTTATTTTTAAGCAACTTTGAAATCTTGTTATTTTTAAAAAATTTTTCTTTTTTTATTTTATTTTTTTTTTATTTTTTCATTTAATAAGATCGATAACTATATATTTATAATGTAAAACAAAAGATAAGATAATCTTTTTATTAATTAATTATTTTAATTTTCATTAAATTTTTTTCATTAAATTTTTTTGTCCTGTTCTTTAATTTATTTGAAATTTTACAGTAATATACCAACGAAATTTTACTTCAAATTTTACTTCAAATTTTGTTGGATTTTTGTATAAAATAATAAATTATAATTTAATGAATTTAACAATCATAATGCGTTCAATTGCTTTTTGAATATTTGTAAAATTTGTGTGAAGAACTCTTCTGTTAACATTTTTGGATAAAAATAATATATTTATTATATATTTTATTCGTCTATTTCATTTTATCAATCGAAAAATTTAAAATTTAAAACAATCAACTATATTGCTTATAAAAATTAATGAAACTTTTTATTCTTATTCTATTATTTTTATATAATATTTATGATTATAAAAAAAAGATATCAATAATGTCAACATTCTATATTAATATTTTACAAACAGAAAAAATTTAGAAATGATTAATTTTATCTAACTATAATATAGATTCAAATTTTTATTCATGTATAAGAAATAAAAAACCTAGTAACTTTTAGTAAATTATTAATAAATTTTAACATTACTTGTAAAGTTATTTCTTTTTATTATAAATAAATATATAATAATAATAT